ATAATAAAATAAAATAACCCTTCACACACACACACCCTCCCTCTGGTGACAGCAGATCACACGAGCCATTTAATGGGCTCCATCCCTCTCTAGGTTCCCCAGGCCCGCTGCCAGAACTAGGTCCGCCTTCCGGAAGACTGCTAAAGTGGGGGCCAGTTACACCCCAAAACAGTGAGGACCATTAACCAGTGGAACAGCCTGCCACCAGAAGTTGTGGGTGCTCCATCACTGGATGTTTTTAAGAGGAGTCTATAGACAGCCACTTATCTGAAATGGTCTAGGACCGTGATAGCGAACCTGTGGCACACGTGCCACAGGTGGCACGCAGAGCCATTTGTGCGGGCATGCGAGCCCCAGGCAAAATTTACCTCGCGGCGCATGCGCGTGCCTCCCAGCTGATTTTCGGGCCTTTTTCAACCTGCCAGAGGCTTGAGGGAAGCCTCTGCAGGCCCCAAAATAGGCCTGTTTCCGGAAATACTGGAAGTGATGAAACGGGCCTATTTTTTGGCCTGCAAATCCTGCAGAGGCTTCCCTCAAGCCTCTGGCAGGCCGAAAAAGTCCTGAAAATCAGGTGGGAGGCACAGTGCAGGTAAGGGCTGCGGGAGGAAGTGGGGAAATCGCATGCACATGTGCAGGAGGCGTGGGGACACAGGAGCCCCAAAAAGATTAGCCACCACTGGTCTAGGAGGTTCTCCTGCTTGAGCAGGGGGGCTGGACTAGAAGACCCCCCAATGTCCCTTCCAACCCTCTTATTCCGTTAACGTGCTGCCAGATGGTATCATTTCTTAACGTGTGATGCTGTTCCTTTTTTTTTTCTTTCCCAGATTGCCCTGGCTAGTTTCTACGAAGATGGTGGCGACGAAGACATCATGACCCTCCCACAACCAACCTCCAGCTCGGTTACCAGAGGCACTGCAGCCAGGTGACGTCACCTTACCTGTCTTTGCGGGAGTCAACGTGAGATCATAACGTCGGATTCTTCTCTGGTGGAAAAAAAAACAAACATTGGGTTCAAGGTCTTGGAGAGCCGAGCAGGGTCTGCCAGGGAGGTGTAGGATTCGTAGCAACGGCATTTCCTAAACAAGGAGCTTCTGTGAAAATGGCTCTCAGTGAGGATGTGTGTCATGTCCCTGTCGGAATCTGATTCGGAGGGGGAGGCTGAGCAGCTGACGGAGTGGGAGTGTGGCTCCGTCGGCTGTGGAAGAAACTGGGCAAGGGCAAAGTCTGGCTGGGCAGACCAGGGGAGAGGTAGAACAAGGGAGAGCGAGATCAGAGGAAGACCCAGGTCACCCTCTCTTCATGCTAGGGTACACAGGGAGGAACGGAGAAGGGAACAACGTAAGTTGCATGGCTTACGGGGAGGAAAGGGCCCTGATTCCCTTCATTAGCTGCAGCTGGGAAAACAGTGTTTAAAAGGGAGATTGCACACAGCAACTTGTTGAAATTGTGAGTTATCTGTTACTGTCAAGGCTTATCTGGGTTCCTGGTGTCTTCCCAACGGTGTGAGTTTTGTTGGCCTTTCAAGTCTTGCAATTCCTTCTCCTGCCATGTCAAGTTAATTACTGGAGCATGGTTTGTTTGGATTTTTAGTTACAGTTTGTATGTACTTTGTTTTCGGACTGAATTTCCTCCACTTAAAGGCTGTTCCTGGGAGAGTTTTTCTCCAGCCAAAGGTAACCTGGACATCGGGAGCAAAATTGGAGGTTCTTAGTTATGTGACAGTATTATTGCCTTTGTGCCATGCTCTGGGGTCATCACAATGTGATTTTATGGGTAGTCCTTGACTTACGACCGCAACCGAACCCACCATTGGCGTTGTTGAGCAAGATAGTGATTAAATGAACTAAATGCCCCATGTTGCAACCACTCTTGCCTCAGTTGTTAAGCGAATCAGAGCGGTTAAGTGACATCACACTGTCATGAAGTGAATCTGGCTTCCCCATTGGTTTTGCTTGGCAGAAGATCACCAGAAAAAGGGGATTATATCTTCCCGAGACACTGCAATCGTCATAAATATGAGCCGGTTGCCAAGCTCTGAATCATGGTCACACGACCGTTGGGATGCGGCAACTGTCGTAAGTGTGAAAAAGTGGTTGTAATTCACTTTTTTCAGTGCCATTGTAACTGAACGGTCACTAAGTGAACTGTTGTAAGTTGAGAGACCGGATTTAAAACTATTCACAAGAGTGATTTTTGTGTTAAGACCACCAGAATCGGTAGCATATTGTAG